AGTTTGAAAACAGCCTGGGGAATATAGGATGACCCTGTCTCTACAAAAAATAAAATTGTAAAATTAGCCAGACATGGTTGCATGTGCCTGTAGCCCTAGCTACTCAGAAGGCTGAGGTGGGGGAATCACTTGAGCCCAGGAGTTCCAGGCATCATGAGCTAAAATCATGCTACTGCACTATAGCCTGGGTGACAGAGTGAGACTGTCTAAAACAAACAAACCAAAAAAACAATGTAATTTCTATGCCTACCAACTAAAACAGGTAATCACATGTTGTTCAATACAACAACAACAAAGCTGAAGGAGTACTTGCAGTAATGATAGAGGAGAAAGAGGTCACAAGGAAAAGTCATCTTTTAATCTCGGAGGTTTCTAGTTTTAACAGGTACATTTAAGTCTATTAAATCTATTTTGTTTTGTGGTGTAAGGTCTATGTTCATTTTTATATCCATACAGATATCTAGTTTATCCAGCACCACTTGTAAAAAAGGCTGTTCTTTTGAATCACCTTAACACTTTTGACAAAAATCTGTTGAATATGAATGTCTGCATATGTGTACACATATCTATATCTCTATCTGTCATACACATATGTGTATATATGATGCTCTCTATAATACTCTCATTGATCTGTAGATCAGTGTCTTAGTTTGTTGTGTGCTGCTATAACAATACAACTGGGTAATTTAGAAATGGAAATTTATTTCTCAACGTTTTGCAGTTTGGGGATGTTCAAGAGCAAGGCGCCATCATCTGGTCTCTGGTGAAGGCCTTCTTGCCCTGTCCTCACATGTCAGGATGACAAGAAAGGGACCAAACTCCCTCTGTCAAGCCCTTTTATAAGAGCAGCTAATCCCATTCACTCAAGAGATGTCCTCATAGCCCAACCACCTCTTAAAGGCATCACCTCTTAATACCATCATATTAGCCATTAAGTTTCAACATGAATTTTGGAGGAGACACATTCCAACCATACCATGCCTATCTTTATGCCAGTATCACACTGCCCTGCATATAACAATAATAAAGTATGGTTAAATTTGTAAAAACAAGTATTTGAATTTTATTAAAGTATTACATTGGAAAGCAAAGGCATACAGAAATCATAGAAGAGAAAAAAAGACCTGCAAATTAGAGGAGTAAAAATTGTGACTTACTGGTTTTGGGATCGAGGATCTTGCCCAATCTTCATGAGTATGGCTGTGGGAAATACTGTTAGAAAAAAAAAGAAATCATAACCTTACTGGCAACAAGTGCCAGAGACTGGAGTTAAGACTTGAAAAGCCACTGCAAATTTAAGTAGGAAATCTTGGGAATGAGAACCAGAGAAGAAATGCGATAGAACTGCCCAAATCCATGTCTCACAGCAAAACTCTGCATGAGTGAAGGAGACCCCATGAAGCCTGAGGAAAAAGCAAGCAAAGACCAGATAGAAATCTAGTCTTAAAAGACCACTATTCGGCCGGGCACGGTGGCTCACATCTGTATTCCCATTCCCAGCACTTTGGGAGGCCCAGGCGGGAGAATCATGAGGTTAGGAGATGGAGACCATCCTGGCTAACATGATGAAACCCCGTCTCTACTAAAAATACAAAAAATTAGCCAGGCATGGTGACGGGTGCCTGTAGTCCCAGCTACTCGGGAGGCTGAGGCAGGAGAATGGTGTGAACCTGGGAAGCGGCGCTTGCAGTGAGCTGAGATTGCGCCACTGCATTCCAGCCTGGGCGACAGAGCAGGACTCTGTCTGAAAAAAAAACAAAAACAAAAAATTATTCGAGATGTATAAATGTAAATTATACCTCTACTTTGATGCTTTACTTAAGGGGATGTATTCCTCCCTGTGCTGTGTGTACTTTGAGTGACAGAAAGCTGAAACTTCAGAAACTTGGTATGTCAGGGAATAGTCCTAAGTTGCCAGAACAGCTGGAAATAAGAGGAGAATCCCTAGAATGGAGGAACCCACAAAGAAGGTGATCTCCATTGCTAACTGACCAGCAAATTACACAGGCATAGGGAAATCAATCTCTAGGGAGCCAAGCTAAAAGAGCATGGAAAACCATGAAAATGAAGCAGAGATATCAATAGCAGCATGCCCCAGGGGAGGCAATATTGGCAGTTTGAATCCGGATAAGTTAACTGTCAAACAGAACAAACAAACATAAAATCAATAATACTCAGGGAAAAAAAAAAACCCAGGAGAATCCGGAGTCATTACAATATATTACAATGTCCAGCTTTCAATAAAAAATTAACAGGCATGTAAAGAATAGGAAGAAAAGACAGGAGAAAAGGCAGTCATAGCAAGGGACTCAAGTATATCCAGATATTTGATTTAGCAAAGACTTCTAAGCATTGCTCTTATTTTGACACAGTAATTATATTGATTGATGTTTAAATGTTAAGTCTATGTTGCATTGTACTTCCATGGCAATCATTCTGAGAAGATAAAAGCCATGGGATCAGTGTTCTTTCTTCTGTTATTTGGCACTTAAATTCAGTAATTTTGCACTAAAATATAAACCCCATAGATGTAGGGACTGTTATGTATTGCTTTGTTATCCCTAATGACTGAAACAGTGTCTGACATAGATTGGGTGCTCAATGAATAGTTATTGAATGAATGAATGACTAAAATATAAACTAAAATTACTGGTTGACTCCATGAAGAAAGACTTTCAGATAGTCTCCATCCATAGTGAGGCAATCAAGGGTTGATCATGTGACTAGTTATTAATCTTATTTTGTATCCATATTTAAGATTTTTAAATAGATGTTTAATAGAAGTAAATAGCAAAATAAATTCATCATCACTAGCTAAATATTGACATATCTGTCATTGCCATTGAACATAGCTATTCATCACCAGGTAAATATTACACATTTTAAACTGTAAGGTACAAAAGGGGAACAATTAAGTAATCTGTAAATTTAAAACACATCCAGGGTAGAATTTCATTGAAAACATAATAGGTGAATATATACTTTAAATTTTAAAAAATGAATATCTGGTCTTTCGGTTTAATCCTCTACTGGTTTATTGACTGTTAAACAAAGTTGCCAATTTGTAACCTCAAAGGAAAACAAAGTGACCATAATTATGTACTAATAAGTAGATCTCTAGGAAAGAAATCAGAGATCCCCTAAGCAAAGCATCCATTGGCCCTTTAGAAATTCTCTTTAAAACAGCATAAAGCATGTTATTAGCCTTTTGATCACCAGGGGGCAGTGTTGTTTCAGACCAACACAATTCACACTCTATCTGTAGCAACTGTCCAGGAAGTACCAACCAGAATCCAACTGCCAGCTTCACACTGTTACTCCACAAAACCTCACAGTCACTTGTTTACAAGGTGAATAGCTAAAGGCAGACAATATAGGATGAAGCGAAATGCTGAAAGAAGAGAAATGTTACCCAAATTATCTGAAATGCAACACATTTTGTTCATTGCTGTAGAGGTTAGTAAGAGGCTAACAATTCTTTACTAATACATACCCTGATGCTTACCATGCTTATCAAGTCCAATTGGCTACAGCAAGCACTTCAGAGGGAGAAGTAAAAGTTTCAAAGAAGTCAAATATTTGTAAATGAAAATAAGAATAGTTTTTGTTGTAACTGGAAAAAGATAAGCTTTGCTTCCTTTGCTGTGCGAATGGCGAAATGGTCTTAAATTTTAAATATTGAATTACACTAGAATTTTACTAACTGCAGAAGGTATAAATTTGATAGCCACTTTCATCCAAATGCTTTGGATAAAGCTTTGTCTAAGAATAACCTCAAATATTATTTTATTTTCAAATAATATTAGGCTAGAAAAATACTATCCCAAATACAGGTTTGAGATTCATTCAGAATAATAAGACAAAAGTTTGGAGAAGATTTTAGAATTAAATCATTTCACCCTTCCTAGCTGTTGTTCCCATTGGAAATGTGACATTTTAGTCAATAAAATGCAAAAGTGCAAAACATTTTTAAATAACAGCAAAACACAAAATGAAATTCATGTTGTGATTAATGCATGTTATTAGAATGGAATTTAAATTGCATTCTTGCTTTGCCTTCTTTAAAAAACATATAATGTTATAGTGATATGTTTTCAAACTCTCATACAGAATCAAGACCATCGAGAAAGCATGCAGAGGGACATATCCCATTCTTAGCTCTTAACAGCAATTTAAAAGTTAAGAACACCCACACAGAACATCAGCTAAGCTAGGAAAGGCAAAACTGATTGGGCTTGTTCTGAAAGTCGATCTGTGTCAATCAGAATAATGGTCTTTATAGTGCTATATGATTAAGTCTAATTTCTTAAATATGAGGAAAAATGAACTTGGCAATTATTTTTAAAAATCTTTTCATTTCTTAGCCAGTGTGAAAAGGCAAAAAACAAAACAAAAAACACAAGACTTTCCCAAGATTAGGGGGAAATGACCTCACTGTTAATATTCATCTGCTGAGAGCAGTTATGGGACCCATGTCAGGAGTACATGCTTCAAATAAGATGGGACTTGAGAATTGCTGAGAGACTTCAGGAACATTCTTTAACTTCATGAGGCCTCAGTTACCCCACCTTTAAGGGGAATAGTAATAGCAATAGTACCTTGGAGGATTTCTGTGATAAAATGAGAAATGTTTGTGAGAAATACACAAAATATTGGCTTACTGAAAGATGTTACGAGGCAAGCAAGTATGCCTATTTTCATTCAATGTTTATTATTTCAAAGGCAAAGTTTCCATATAGATTAAGGCCTTCCTAACATCTAAATACCTTTTCTAGTTCTTATTGTATGAAGATAAGAAGGATGGTTGGGAGCTATGTAAGGAATACCTTTCTCTTCTGCTCCCCCTCACTCCCTCCCGTAGGCTGGTAGCAGCTGATTTCACTACCTCAGATATGCAAATTGATGCCACCTTCCTGTAGCCATTTTTGCCATAGCTGACTTATTTGTTGGGTGGTGGGGAGGGGAGCGGGCAGGATTAGGCGAGGGGTAGTAGTTGGGATTTATTGGTCTTGGAATTCAACCATCCGATGTATTTGTTTTCCTGTGTCTACTCCCTTAAGTCTGCAGGCACTGTCTAGTAATTTTATAGTTTTCAGTGGCACCCCAGGGGACAGGACACCTTGGCCTTTTTATAATCACTCTAGAGTCCCAAAGCAGAAAGGAAAAAAGTTAACGATCAGCTATGCAAAGGCTTGTGGGGATTGCTCAAAGACAGCCGATTTTCACTTTACCGGAGTTACTAAAGGACTTCAGGAGAAGGATCCCGTCCCTGCAGGAGCGTTTGTGGTTGAAGAAGCAGGCGAGCGAGCGCTCAGGTGCGCCTCGGCAGCTTGACTGGGGTCCGCAAGCCCGGTGCGACTTATTAGCTGCTTGCCGCCTACTGACACTCTGGCGGAGAACTGGAGGAGGCGCCCAGTGGGCTCTGGGTTCGGCCCGGAGCAGGGCGTTTCAGAGGAGCCGGTTTGGGGTTTCCCAACTCAGGCGATCAGGATAGGCAACAGCCAAGAGAGGCGCTCAGTTGCTTTGCACCCTCCTCCCACCTCGGTTCTGTCCACACCCACGGGCGCCCCGCCCCCTTGGCCTTATAGAGGGGACTCGGCACCTCGGCGCGCCTCGGAGCCAGAGGTTTCCCGGAGAGGAAGGCGCGGCTGCCTCCGGGGCCAGTGAGCCCTGGCGCCGCCGCGGCCGCGGTCCCAGTAGCGGCATAGGGCGGCGGCTGCGCCCCGCACCATGGAAGGCAGCCCAGCCACAGCCGCGGTAGCCGCCGACCTCCGCCGCCGCCCGCGCCGCGTCTGCCCCCTCCCGCTGCGGCTCTCTGGACGCTATCCCCTCCTCACCTCGAAGCCAACATGAAGGAGACCCGGGGCTACGGAGGGGGTGCCCCCTTCTGCACCCGCCTCAATCACTCCTACACAGGCATGTGGGCGCCCGAGCGTTCCGCCGAGGCGCGGGGCAACCTCACGCGCCCTCCAGGATCCGGCGAGGATTGCGGATCGGTGTCGGTAGCCTTCCCGATCACCATGCTGCTCACCGGTTTCGTGGGCAACGCACTGGCCATGCTGCTAGTGTCGCGCAGCTACCGGCGCCGGGAGAGCAAGCGCAAGAAGTCCTTCCTGCTGTGCATCGGCTGGCTGGCGCTCACGGACCTGGTCGGGCAGCTTCTCACCACCCCGGTGGTCATCGTCGTGTACCTGTCCAAGCAGCGTTGGGAGCAGCTCGACCCGTCGGGGCGGCTCTGCACCTTCTTCGGACTGACCATGACTGTTTTCGGGCTCTCCTCGCTGTTCATCGCCAGCGCCATGGCCGTCGAGCGGGCGCTGGCCATTAGGGCGCCGCACTGGTACGCGAGCCACATGAAGACGCGTGCCACCCGCGCTGTGCTGCTCGGCGTGTGGCTGGCCGTGCTCGCCTTCGCCCTGCTGCCGGTGCTGGGCGTGGGCCAGTACACCGTCCAGTGGCCCGGGACGTGGTGCTTCATCAGCACCGGGCAAGGGGGCAACGGGACTAGCTCTTCGCATAACTGGGGCAACCTTTTCTTCGCCTCTGCCTTTGCCTTCCTGGGGCTCTTGGCGCTGACAGTTACCTTTGCCTGCAACCTGGCCACCATTAAGGCCCTGGTGTCCCGCTGCCGGGCCAAGGCCACGGCATCTCAGTCCAGTGCCCAGTGGGGCCGCATAACAACCGAGACGGCCATTCAGCTCATGGGGATCATGTGCGTGCTGTCAGTCTGCTGGTCTCCACTACTGGTAGGTAGTTTCAGGGTTGGGGAAAGTCAGGATGCGTGTGCGAGTAAGCGGGAACCTAAGACTTTTCTAAGTGCTAAGTGGCAGCACCTGCAGGGGTGTGTTTGCAACCGCGGAGCGCTGGAGTGGCCTCTCCTCCTAGAGTTGAGCTCCTCACTTAGCTGAGCGCCTTCGAAGAGCCAGGGTTCACAATACGCGCTGGTTATGAGCACATAGAGATCACAGGGCTGCTCACATTCTAGTCGGGGAGGAGACAGGATGTGTCACTGAAATGACACATATGCAGAGATAGAGGTTAGTCCTGGGTGCATTAAGAGCAGAATGGCTATGATAACTGCAGGCTGATACTGTGGGGGTTTTCTTTATTTCAAATACCTCTCTCACGTTAATGAGATTTTCAGTCTGCAACCCCAGACAGTCACAGCCCTCCTGAGACGTATGGGCAGCCTTCAAGGTTCATTTTTGATGATGTAGGAGAACGAAAGATGCGAGTTTCCTCCTCAACCCTTCCGCGTGGTGCTTGGCTCTCTAGGAAGTGCCTGAAGGATAGCCAATGGGATCCGGAAACCCAGCAGGCCAGCATTTACTTACCCTTGTAGCAATCAAGCAGGTTTTGCTAATCCTGAGAGAGGAGGTAGAGGTTTCTCCATGTCCTAGCTCCTCACACCAGAGCAATGCAAAGGAGCAACGGATGTTTGCAAAGGCTCTTTGTCCAACACTTGACCTTACATGATATTTTTGAGGTTTTTTGTCTGTGTTACTTTTAGCTAGAAATGTCCGTGTGTGTAACAGCTGTTTACTTATTCTTGAAGAATGGATGCTTACTTAGGCCCTGGGGAATCTGGGCTAATAGATGTTGCAGAAAGAACCATTTGCTCACTGTCAAAAAGGTATAAGCAAGTATATTTATTACACAATTGTGAAAAACCTTTGAAACACGTGAACACAGTTGTTTTTTTTTTTTTTTTTTTCTAATTGTGGTAAAATATACAATTCAGTATTTTAACCATTATTGTGTGTACGGTTCAGTGGCATTAGGCATGAAGTACGTTGACTTTCTTGTGTGCCATATATACTTTTAAATCCCTTGCATTTGAAAATAGAAATGTAATTTCTTTCACCTGGTTTGGTAGATTGGAGCATAAACCTTGGCTCCAAATCAGTGACATGAGGGGACAAGTAGAGTTATGTTGAGTCCTAACTGCCTACAAGTCGCTGTATGGTCACAGTTCTTTATTCCAGGAGTTGGAACTCAGGCTGATGTCATCACTACGGCTTTTCAAAACCAGCACCAGTTTTAGATATAGAGTATTTACTTTTATGACTCAGGAATGGGGTGTACAGGAGGCCAACTAGGAAGGAAGAAAGAGTTCTAAATAGTAAACACTTTACTAAAGTGTGGTAATTAATATAACTTTAAAGACAAAAGGGTATCTGAATTTTTCACAAGTGTCATTTGAGCCCCACATCGTTGAGTTTGCTGTATCACATGATTTATATCCTAGGGGAAAAAATGCAGTTAAATCAATTGAACAAAATACCCACACAGTTAATCAGACTTATAATTTATTGTTTGTGTATTTTGTTTTTAAGTCAAAGAGAAACCATGTAGTGTGTTTTTGATGTAGACACTTTAATTCTAGTACCATGAATATGGTGGCCTCAGAAAGAAAGTAGATCAATCTTGAAAACTGTAATTTAGGATGGCCAAACTCACTCTTTCAAGAAAGACTGTATTTGAAACTAGTCTTACTTAATTTCAATTTATTTTCATTCGGATAATACTAATGGATTTATAGCATTTTACTGCACACTTTATTAATTCAATTATACAAACATTAAACAAAATAAATTCAACATGTGATCATATCAAAAAGGAGATTTTTTTTTTTTTTTTTTTTGACACAGAGTCTTGCTCTGTCACCCAGACTGGAGTGCAGTGGTGACATCTCAGCTCTCTGCAGCCTCCACCTCCCAGGTGCAAGTGATTCTCCTGCCTTAGCCTCTGGAGTCACTGGGATTACAGGTGCCCGCCACCACACCCGGCTAATTTTTGTATTTTTAGTAGAGATGGGGTTTCACCATGTTGGCCAGGCTGGTCTCGAACTCCTGACCTGAGGTGATCTGCCCGCCTCAGCCACCCAAAGTGCTGGGATTACAGGCATGAGCCACTGTGCCCAGCCTAGGAGAAATTGGAACTTTTAAAAGAAAATCGTTCCATCAACTGGGCGCGGTGGCTCATGCCTGTAATCCCAGCACTTTGGGAGGCCGAGGTGGGTGGATCATTTGAGGTCAGCAGTTCGAGACCATCCTGGCCAACATGGCCAAACCCCGCCTCTACTAAAAATGCAAAAATTAGCGGGGCATAGTGGCATGTGCCTGTAATCCCAGTTACTAAGGAGGCTGAGGCAGGAGAATTACTTAGGCTGGGGAGGCAGAGGTTGCCGTGAGCCGAGATTGAGCCACTGCATTCTAGCCCGGGTGACAGAGCAAGACTCCATCTCAAAAAAAAAAAAAAAAAAAAAAAAAAACTCCAAATATCTTCAAAAAGATTTACTGTACAAAGTTGGAATTATTTCAAAGAAAAGAAACTGACAAAGCTGCTTTCTTAATAGAGAATTGTAAGAACGAAAACACTAGATTTTAGTGAATTGGATTTTCAGCATATTAGTGTTAAAATGAGATTAACACTGTTTTTTTCTAACTATGGGTATAATATAGATTTCCTGTTAGCATATGTTAAGTTGGGTATAGGATACTGTTCTAATTGTCCAAACTTCTTACTTGAAAGGACCCCGAGTATATCCTGGAAGACGATCATGACTGTAACAAATATTCAGTTGTTACTGCAGGAAAACTTGGTAGGACAGAAATACCATAATAAGAAAATGTCCCAACTGCTACAAGTTCCCGCTACATAAATACTTAAATAGAGGCTTATGTATCCTTAAATAAAAGCTTTGTTTCCTTTTTCTTTTTCTCAGAAACTTTGCAAAATACAATATAAAATGTGAAATTAAGAGAGTGCAGTGGAAAACGATGTCACTATGATAGATGATCTACAGTTTTTAGTTACTGGTTATTGAAGACATCACATTGTCATTCTGTTGCAATCAGCCAGTTGATTCAGCAATGCAATCTATTTGACTTTTATCATTATTGTTTTATATTTTATGAATGATGCTCACCATAGCTCAGTTGTTTGACATGATAGCTAAATTTCCAGAAATGGGAATAACCTTAGGATTTTGTTCAAAGGAAGCTGTGAGTACATTTTGTACTTTTATAACTTGGCACTCCCAAACAGGTATAATGTGGCTAATACTGTAAGCTATCTCAAAAACAGTAAATATAAAGCCAGCTATGAACATTGTGAAAAGTGAGGTATGAGCAACAGTTTCTCATCATCAATCTTGGAACTGGATAAAAGCAGCCTTAGAAACTTTTGCCTTTAATCTTGAACCAGTGAATTCCCTGCTCAGTATCCACAAATACAAACAGAGATTTTCAGTTCAAGAAGATGTTTCACAATGTATTTGTGATTTTTTTTGTTTTAGTTAAGAATCACTGATATATTTTGACAAGTGAAATTTGCCTTTAATATGCCACATGTGGTAGATATGTATGATGAATTATTTTCAGAAATAATGTTGTTTTATAGCATATAAAAGTATTATTCAATTGCTAATCTCTTCTGCCACTAACTTTCTGCCATATTCAGGATGTTGTTTCAGAGAAAGTGATTAAACCTATGAATCCACATTATAGGAAAAATATTCTACAGTTTTTCTCTTTTGAAAAAGGTGTGAAGGTCAACAAAATATTCTATGATTGTAGAACTGATTATATTATAATCTGTTCAGAAAAGCAGAATTTACACATTTATGAGTGAAATATTTAAAGAACCCTACTCCAAGACAGGATGTAATTAATGCCTTTGGCTCTCAGAAAAAAGTCAGTCTGAATTTGCCAGAGGAGATTTCCAGGAAGAGGTGAATTGGCATAACCTGACTTCATGACTTTATGACTGAGACCAAGTGTGTCCGCAAACCCAGCCCAATGAGAACAAAGGGTGCACACTAGATCAATGGGAATTACGTTTTTAAAATGTTCAAGAAAACAAATTTAGATGGTTAGTCCCTGAATGACAAGATGAGGACTTCACTCTTTTGAGTTTATCAGAAAGAGCCAAGAATTAAACACTTCTTAAGCCATCACCTTTGAAGAAATTCACATGGTCTGAAGTTGTAATATAATTTTGAGTCACTGACCCTTCTCTTTTGAACAAGCTGTGAAGGTCAGCAATTAAAATATAAAAGTTTCCGCAGGTTTAGTTTTCTGGGACTAACGCTCAGGAATATGTTACAGGCATCTGTAACAGACTATGATTCATCTGAGGGTGCAGAGGGGTGGTAGGTGAGGGATACTGGGTGCTAAGTTTCAGTTTTTAGTTCTACCCTTGCATTGCAGTAAAGAAATGCAGGGAAGTCCCCCCTAAAACTCTTTACATCTGTGTAACACTTTTGCAACCTACCAGTGTTCCACATTTATCTCATTCATGCCTCTCAACGCTAAGATCTACAACTGTAACATGTCAAATCCTTACTCTCCCATTTTTTCCAATTGCTTTACAAAAAGATAGGAAGGAAGTTTGTATTTCAACTCCTGCCAGCTGTGCTTCTTGAGAATCCATAGACAATCTCTCAAGTCCTCCTTTTCCTTAGAAAATTCCAACTTTCATAAAGATGGTAACCAATGAAGGAGCCTAATTTTGGAGGGGGGTTGCTCTTATATCTTGTCCCCTAAGTTTATGGCAACATTTTACTGTAAACATAGTACAGTCTCTGACCTACGATTTTTCAACCTCATGATGGTGTGAAAGGAATGCACATTCAGTAGGAACTATACTTGGAATTTGGAATGTCGATTTTTTATCGGGCTAGTGATACGCAATATGATACCTTTTGGTGATGAATGCACAGCTCCCAGTCAGCCACGCAAAC